AAATGTGGGATTTTGACATTCACGGTGACTTATATTTTGAAAAAGCTGTTAATGGGTTTTTAGCTGATTTATTTCAAAAGTGGAAAAAGAATGGCAGTAATCATGAAGTAACGATTGTTCTATTCTCAAGAACATTTTATAATGCTAACAGTCTGGAAGAATTTCCAAATCACATGCGTGAATGTTTACAACATGATTATAGGGGAAGATTTTATGAAGATTTCTACAGGGTGGTAGTTCAAAATGAAAGATTTGAAGATTGGAGTAACGTGTTGGTACAATTACGTAAACTGTTCACAGACTATCAAAAAATTGTATTAGAATATCATCAAAAATCAGGTGTCTCTATACCAAAAGCAGTAAATTCAACAGCTGCACAGGGCAACTTTTTAGAAGTACTGAACATGTCTTTAAATGGTAATATTTAAACAGACACACACATATACATATAGTTTAATTTATTACAAAGTATTTCGCTTAATTTAGCTCGCTTACAGTGTTTGAGAAACATTATCTGGATCGTAGTTTTGATAGAACTGGTCAGTTATCGGTGGTGATTACACCTGGTGTAGGTGTTTTTGAGGTTGACAGAGAGTTAACGAACGTTACAAAACAAAGAATTATCGATAACGGAGTTGGTAGTGATTTGGTGTGTGTCGGAGAACAGCCATTACATGCTGTACCTTTATTAAAGGTATTTACGCTTATGAAAATATTATACAGCACTTAGTAATAATGTTATAAATATTAATATTTGTGATATAATTTTAGTTTCACAATAAGGATACATCTGTTAATGCGCCTGATGACTATAGCATGCCGCACTGGATCAATCTCAGTTTTTATTCAACAAATAAAAAAATTCCTTATTCAACATTTATACCTCGTATAAAACTTCCTCAGAGGGTGTCAAAACAATCAGCAGAAACTGGAAAATTGCAGTGTAAAAGTAAGCTTTTACAAGAAGATGCAAAGGAATGTTTGCACAATACTTTGTTTGACTATGATGCATACGATGCACAAGTCTTTCAATTGCCTTCAGTCCATACGTCAAGGTAAATTCAATATTAAGTTATATGCTGAAACTTTAACTCCAGAGGTTCTAGTTTAAAATTTTCTATAAGTAGTTTGCAACGAGTTACGACCAGAACTAAAAAGACAAGCGTTGCCAGCATGGAAACACATAATAACGCGCATATACTGAAACTTCTGAAAAGAAAAATGTCAGATCCTGATATACATCACCCACCACCTGAATCTCACTCACCTCCAGCTGCAACAAGAAGCGCAGCAATCTTGATACCTTCTAGAACAGATGACGTAACCAGTAGTGAATCCAATGGAGAAGTCAATGGTATATATTGAAATTACTTGTACAAGTTATAAGTGTTAATAAGATATTGAAATATAATCGTATTTAACAATTATATGTTACGTAGAATCGAGGATATCAGTAAAAAGCGATTTAACCGATTCAGAAATATCGCCGCCATTTAGGCCGGTTGTTGGCAGTGCTGGAAGCCCCACAAATACAATATCTCAACCTACAACTATTAGACCTAGTAGGGCACTTATTAATCCTTTTGATCCATCTCACGTTACAATTAAATTAACTAGTAACAGACGAAGATGGACACATATTTTTCCTAAAGGTAATTACTAATAAAGAAAAGAAATTACATAATCGTTTAAATTTAACTAATATCGTAGGGCCAACAGGTGTACTTATACAGCAACATCATTATCAAGCTGTGCCAACACAAATGTGTTCAGAACCACAATCCGATGCTACTTCCACTATAAGTGGCTCCCCTATGGAACATAACGACGTCTCTAACTCGAATCAGTTTCAAGATCGTTAGTATTTCATATAAAATACATAAGTCGTGTATTAATATAATACAGCACCGCAACTATGTTTTTCATAGACACAAAGAATAAACCGCAGAGATTAAATCTTTCACTATCAAGCACTGATAAAAGTGGGAATCCGATATCCTCTACAGGCAATAAGTCTTTGACATTGTTATGGGGTGCTACTGGTGAACAGGAATGGACACCGGCACTTACAACAGGTTTGCATATATTCTAATAAAGCGATTTACAACATAAATATACTATATAACTACTGGCAAATAATATTTTATAACATATCCAAATAACAACATTAGCCATATTATTATTCACAAGTTATCCACAAATTATTATAAAATGAGTTTACAGTTTGAAGAAAGAATTTTGAAAGGATTTTTAATTAAGCAAACGATTAATTCATGTGGTAAAAAATATTAGACAATTAATTACGGATGTATAATGCTTCTTGGCAATTTTAGGAGAACAATAAAGGCGTACATAAGTAAAATAATGTAGGTGTAATATTATAAATTATTCAACCGATGCACAAATTCATACAGAGAACTTCATTCTTATCATTCATACTTAATACCAAGAAGGATTAATCAATACAATTTTGAAACGTAATTTCTAAAAGAATGAAAATAGTTGATACAAATTTCAGGAAAAGATATTGCTTTTCAAGCAGAAATGAATGAAAGTTTAATACACAGTCACACAATCATCATGCATAAGAAGTATTTTCATTCTTGGACATATTCATGTTTATTTTTGAGGTTCATCGATCATTTATATGAATAATATTATTATTACATTTATTTCCATGCTATGGTACGTCTTATTGGGATGCAACGCTGGACGCATTGACGCGTGTGTGATGTACAACTATGATGTCACATTAAACAGCAATCATAGGTTAGCGCCATACGTTATTGGGGGTTGATTCGGTTATGGTACACATTCTTTCCTTTTATTTTCTTTTTTTTTTTCCAGGGTATTAAATTTGTAGTAACTTTTGTTCTTCATAGCTCTAGTCTTTATGATTCTTCTATGCATGTATGTCCTCTGTTGCAAAAAAGTAATTCTAATTCCAAAATAATTTCTACAAATAATCTATTAAATATTTGTTACTATTACGATTATTTATACACCTACATAGAATTCTTTTGTTATTTCTTATTTCTACTTGTTTCATAAGATATTTGCACTGTTCAAAATTCTAATTTTTTCCGATTCTCTATATATACTATGAATTTCATATCATATATTCTTCAAACATTCTCTCATCTGCTTTATAATCCTTCTACTCTATCATCTCGCTTTAAGATCGCACTTATTTATATTACTAGTAATAAGTAGTATACGATATTTGATATGATTTACTAATAATGTATAGAAATTTAATTTTATGGGAATAATTGAAGTACCTTCTTCTTTTATGTAATTATTGTCGATGTGGTATATTTGTTTCGATTATGCATACACGTTCGCATATTCTCCTTCAATATTATTTTCACAAACTTAGTTTGTTATGCTTTGTAACAAACTATTTCGAGAATTCATTTGAGAATTACATTACAAATAATACTTCTTGCATTGCATGCTTTAGTACTAAATCGTGGTCATCTTGGATTTCATATACTGGCAACACATATTGTAATACTAATATAATCACTATCTTTGTTTGGGGTGCATAAATTGTTTAATATGTACTTGCACTGTACAATAATTTTGTGAAAATTTCTTCTGTGTATTATATCTGTGTATTTTTGCATTAACTGCTGCATAATACCTAGATTTAGTACTTACGTAGTCACGAAAATTAACATTATATATTAAAAATAATTCATTTATTTATTCATTTGAAACAGTCTAAAATGCAAATTGCATTTTTCATATATATCCTACATCTTATTTTGTAGGTGTTGATTGGAAATCATTGACAATCCCAGCATGTTTGCCAATTACTACAGATTATTTTCCCGATAAAAGAAGTTTACAAAACGACTACGTTGTGTCAGACTATAATCTTTTGCCTGACGACGTTAATACAGATTTTGCTCAACAACGAGCAATATATAAAAAACCTTTGACAACTGCCGAAGTATTTAAGGAGCTTGTATCGCAACGATTAGCACAGGTATTATGCCAATCATGCCTTCAAACGTGATCTTTGTCCGTATGTGTGCAATTCTGTGTAACTATGTTTATTTTCTCTTTCTTTTTTTTCTCTTTTTCTTCATCTTTCTCTTCTTTTCTTCTCTCAATCAAGGGTTTTCAATTAATAATTTTACCGCAAAATAATCAAAATCAGAGCCATACACCCGGTAGTAATGCTGTCCCTGCAATAAGCTCTGTAATGCGGGGACGGCAAACAGAATCAGAACCGAAGGAGGAATATTTGCTAAGCATTGGGAGAATATTTCACAAAATATCTTTATTCGATAATTGTATAACAGTAACAAGATATCGGCCAAGGTGAGAAATCGCGCTACAAATTAATAAGAAGTAAAGAGAGAATATTTGAATGTATCCTTTACAGGCATCCTTACCCTCCGTTCAATATTCATTATCTGTATCGATTTCACGCACCTCATCACGACACGTACGAAGTATCATGGGTATCTTTTACAACAGAGAAGCTTGAAAATTACAATTGGAATTATTTGGATCATTACATCTGTACAAGGGGCCATACTGATTTTGCTTTAGTAGAGGTAAGATTTGTATCGTACATTATTTCAATTTTTTCTGAGATCATTAAAAATTTCTAGGCGCTTAAATACTGGAGATTTCGCGTGTTTTTACTTCCTTTGCACAATTCGGCTACTCGAAAATTTTTAGAGGGATCATCAAGATGTGATATATATACACCTCTCACCACTTCCGAACAAGTGTCTCTCTTGGACGGATTTTTACGGTTCATCGAGCTGTGGCCGAATAAGATACGCCGCCCGAATCCGAACAAAAATTGGGTAACTTTTGCATAAAATTTTTCTAATATGTAAGATAGCCTGATTTTTCAGTTTTATGGGAATTGAAAGATGTAAAACATAAACTTTTTAAATCGATTGAAATTATCGAATAGGGGAACCTCGAGTAAAATCCAATTGACAGATGTTTCGCTATTATTCCCTGTTTTTCGTCTAAACTAGAACATTGCGTTTTACTTTGGGTTTAACTAACGATCTATTTTGTACCATATTGCGCTGTACTTTTGCACTCTAGAATTGACTGTCGCATGCCTGATGTACGACGCCTAAGTAACGCAATTTTGGTGCTTTTGTTAGTTTCGAATATCGATTAGTTCGTTTAATATCAAAGAGTTGTAATTTTCCTTTATTTTTCTTTATTTCGCAGTTTTTGTTTTGCAAGAGTTTTAACGCAGTGCCATTCTTTCAGTGGTGTACTAAATACGCAGGACGCAACAAACAGTAACATGAGGGTTAATTTAAGTTTAAAAAAAGAGAGCACGATTTTTTCACAAGCTTATTTATTTGTCACTCGATAAATCACTTACGGTGGCTATTACCTACTCGAATTTGACGATATTTTATTACGTACAGACTAATTATTTTCAAATAACAATCTCTGAACTAGTATTTATAGCTGGCGGGTGTCAATGTCAAAATTACACAGTTACACGAGAGAGATATACACGTAATCGTAGGTAGAAATAGATGAGTGGAATGTTAGGAGAGGGCATTTAGCATGATATGTTTCAGAATCCTTCGACTCTAGGTGGTGTTTCCCAGAGAGATCCTGCCTCTCACTTGACCAGACGCAGGCACAGCACGAGCCTGATTGTCCTCACTAACCAGGTACATCCTCGCATCCTGTAGCCTCAGTGCGCTGATCCGGATGTCAATGAAATCATTATCATCTCTATCCATGAATCTCAGAATATACGCCTCCTTTGGCAATAAGGAGGGGACATCCATGAATTCTTCATGTTCTTTTTTTAATCTTTATATATTAGTTACGTCCAGTTCTTTAGTAATGTTAGATTCTAACAGCAAGCTTGTCAGAACATTCAGACAGCTTACACAACGTATTACACAATGCAACCATGCTTGATATCTGCCTTGAATGCGCACATGATTTTTTAGCAAGCTTTTGTGTAATGCAAAACGCCAACATTTTATTTATCTTCTTCTCTCTTCGTCGATCTAATTAATAATGCTCTCTGAATAAAATGTTAACAATGCATTACATAATGAAACAGACCGGTGATATACTACTTCATGATCATGAGCTTGTTCATACATTTACAGTTACCCATACTATTCATCATGCTTTTCAGACCAATCTAGTCGGCAGCTCTCCCTTCAGGGAGCGACTCGGAAGCAATCGTCTACCAGAGAAACCGAGACCAAGGTTTGAATAAGCTTAGATTGATGATTTCGGCATTGTTGCTTTGGCAAATGTAATAGTATAGCTTGCAACCTATTGCATCTTGCAACGAAATGTCCATTGAAATTTGACGTTTGATACCTTTTCATTTTGCTTGTTCGCTTCTGTGCTGCATCGGTTTAATTACTAAATATTAACTGCTTTAAATTGTTTATATACGACGCGAATAATTATATTTGCTGTTGATACAATCATACAAAATGATTGAAAATCGAATTGTTTTTGCCGGAATTATAAGTCCAGTCTTCATGGAGTTTTATTGATTTATTCGATATGTATTTCGATATTATTTATTGATACAATAGACAATTTATTGATACAATACATGATAAGGCATCGAAATTATATTCATTATATATTAAAAAACGTAGAAAAATTTATGCAGCTCTGGCCATTCAGTTTCAGTTTTATGAGTATATATTTTTGTATGAATATGCACATTGAAGCTAATACCGCACATAATTCCCGACAAACTGCACATCTGCATGTTTTACATAACGATGCTGGCAAAACGGTAAAGATTTGTGTGTATCTGTTGTACAAACAATTATTAAGTAGCATTAAGGAGGCTGGTCTAGAAATTCCATATTATTCCATATTATTCAATTGATACTGCGTTATTTGCCTTAAGATATTACAATGCTTCTACTCTGGTGATGAACACGATCACATACCTTTGATTCAAATTTCTGGGAAGGGTGTGCTCAGAATAGAAGAGAGCTGTATTTGTAAATGTTTCAGTACAATCTTTGTACATATTTCCCATTCTATACTTTTCAGCTGCTTTCATCCTTCTTTTCATCATTTAGCAAAGATGAGATACAGAGCATTTGTACCATTTACTTCAACATAGGTAACGGTAAAATGTTACAGAAAATTGCCAAGAATGTGATTTACAATTGTACAAATACTCTGTATGGTAGAAAATATTGGTAGTGAGTGAGGGAGTGACGGGGTTCTCTGTACAGGAGAGGCATGTAGTGAATACCGCTGCGACTGCCCGCGCGTGCCTCGACACTCCTCGCCACGTGCCAAACAGGTTGGTGTTTTAATCTTTTAAATTTCTTTCACTTAACTTTAAATTTAAATATTTGCCGTTGACGGCAAGATATGTATGTGCATCTATATTACAATACCGAAGCATGAATTAAGCTAACAACTCTTACATTTAAATATTAAGATATCGATTCTATCCTTATCTTTTGTATGTACATACATATTCTATCTATATACAGGGCATTCTATCTTACACTTTTGTTCGAGAAAGAAAATAAATAGTATTATGCAGATGCAAATTTTGTTGCTTTTCACATTAGACATTGCTTAATTTTCTCTATTGCTCTGTTTCTCTGCCATACACCATTCTGATAATATAAGCATTATGTGATTAATTGGTATCACTTGTTTTTGTTAGATCAGGTTCCAAAGTGATGGATAGGGGCCGAATCTCACCTGCCAGCGAAGCTGTGTTACCCCTTTCACTCGAGCAACAGCAAGACCATTTCGATTCTAACGAAGATAGGTAAATTAAACGTCGAGTTTCATCTCACACACATCCGCATAAATCGTTTGCATAAACGCTATATTAATTATTTCAATTTCGTTACTAGTAGTACAAACATGGAATTGACAAAGTTAAAGAACACCGCGTCAAACAACGAAATTCTAGAAGCAATGAAACACCCACAAAACGGCGTGGGATTCCTCACACAACACCCATCTCTTCCAAGCCAGACATTTGTTAGCGCAGATGCAGTGCAATGGTTAAATAATCACATAGAAGGAGGAGTAACAGTGGAGAGTGCCATCAATATCATGAATGTAATAATAATAATGTTGTCAGTATAGAGTGAAGTTATTGGTTCCATGTATTTTTATAATATACTTTCATCTAGGGTATGATACAAGACAAGCTCATATGCCATGCATCTGGAGATTTTTCTAAACCATTCATTCTAGGATTTTATTTGTATCACATAGTACAAGATAAAGAAAATCAAAGAGGTAAGGGAAATTATTGTATATTAATTATATATTAATTTGTTATCTATTGTTTGTATGATTTTTCCTATTTTTAAGCTGGCGATTATTTCTCACCCCTGGGTGATTTGCAAAGCTTCGAAAATGAATGGGTAGAAGTCGAAATAAGTGCACCGAAAGGCTGGTGTGAACCATCTTCGCCAGGATCGTTCCCCCTCATGTCATCCCCAATGACTATACCCAGCTGCGATACTACTATTGTAGACGAATCAAACGTAGCGCCGTTTCTTAAAGATGAGTTAGACATATCCGACATGGCGGATGAGCATGGAGAATGGCAAGGTAATTTTTTATACTTCTGGTAGCGTTACTTTTTAGTGTTTATGTATTTTCCATTTCTTGTTTCTCCTAATTCACGTATTATTCACTTTGCCTCCTAGCTCCGTCATATAAACATACTCATCTAGATATAGACATAAACAACAGAAGCGATAGAATCGAATGGGGACATCTAAGATATCAATCTATATACAAAGTAGATCATTCTTACGAACTAGTGGTACAATGGGTTGCATCATCTGGTAGTATAGTCGCTGACCTTGTAAGTATATATTTTTTGTGATCTAAAGCGAGTTCATATTTCGAAATATAACTACTACGTTTGGTTTTCAATCTGGGAAGATATTTGTGTGGCAACGTAAGGCTCAAATGTGCGGAATTCAAATGGTTCCTATCCCAAGCGATCTACTAGCATTACCGTTCACTTTAAAAAGTGATCCTTTAAGGGGGCCTATTTTTATACCATTAAATACAGAGTGTCTTATGGCAAACAAACGACATCTTTTCGAAGGTTTGCTCTCTCAGTATCAACGCGAATTAAAGCGCTATATAGAACGAATGGTTATCAATGATTAATCCAATGGTTATCGATGGTTCTTGATTCCAGAATTTCGAGAAGTAACTCACGCACAAAGACTCTTTCTTTTTCAAGAGACAATTGTACAAAGATTTGGCTTTGTTCCATGCCTAATAGAAAGTACTGAAAACGATCACCAGTACGTTCATATGACCGGCAATGCATTCATACTGATACCATCTACGACAAATACAAGATCACGTCCTCGAACTGCTACCAACATAGTGAGACGAAACACAGGGCAAAAGGGATATCCGATTCATTCTGACCAACCCAGCCCTCATGAAGCTTACATTACGAGACACGTTAGCGGGAAGAATAAAGATGACTACAACAAAGACAAGAGGGTAGGTAATCCGTATAATTCTTTGAGAAAGAAGTTGTTAGAGAAATGAATTCTCATCTGTTTAGATTGGTTTCCTTTGGTCGTGGAATCACATGCTTAGTCGAAAATGGAAATCATCATCCACGTTAGTTGGCGATGAATTGTTTCAAAAAAAGCTCATACAAGATTTTAGACATTTTTGTTCGAATGGGGACAATAGATTGAAACAGTTCTGGGAACATTGCTGGGAGATAAAAGAAAAATCGTGCACGAAAACAATCTAAAGGATCAAATGGAACGTATAACGTAAATATTGTTTTATAAGCTTATATTTCAATTGTAGTATTTAGAAAATTTAATTTCATCGCCATTAAAGTAAGTACTTCGTTTTAGACGGTTAAGAAATCATTTCGAATGTAACATGTACTTTGTGATACAATTGTTATTACGGATAACGGAAGTATGTACAGAATTAAAGATATATTTTAATGCTTAAAAGAACGATGTAAATGAACTGAAAACTAATGTTTGTAATATATATATATATTTCAAGTTCACTTACAATTAGTTTGCATAAGGCATCTGTTGTTTTTACGGCACCGATAGTAGTAAATTTATAATTTTTGTTACTTGTTAATACATGTATTTATACACCTACGAAAGAAAGGAAACGAAGCTATATTGAAATAAAATGGTCTGTATTTTTATTGAACCGAACATTTTTAGAAATGTTGTTATTAACAAAAATATCACATTTATTTAATTCTACACTTATAACATTACGCCTTAATGTCTATATTCGCCTAGTGCTATATAATTGTATTTTAATCTCAATTCAGAGAAATACTGGAGGTTCGTATTAACGTCACCACATACTTTCACACGCTTAAAGTCATCGTAAAGAGTATTTAACATAATATATTATTAACATTTTAATTTTGCTTATTTTTAATATTCTATTTCTAATGTTCTAGTATTATTTCGTACCATACGTTACATAAAAATATATTTTATGTCAAAATATTACAAAATTTTAAATAGAATGTAGAAAAATTATGTTGCACATTGAACAAACATTAATTATTTATGTTCAAAGAGTCAATAATTATTTAGAAATTATTTGCATCTCGATGTAAGCATAATTTAAATACATACCTATTCTTGTCAGTAAGCTACTCTAGAGGGAGATGCCGCGAAGTATTTCTTGTTTTTCCTCATAAATGTCCGACTGTAACAATGCCCGAATATGAGTACCGTACGTAATTGATTTCAAGCTAAAAGTACGTAATAGTAAGGTGCAAACCTAGAAGTAAGTGGAGTATTAAAGAAGCCACGGGAAATGCTGCGTTTAAGTAAAGATTCCTGAGATGGTGTATGCTGTAATTCGCCAGTTCTATGAGTACCAATATTGTTTAGATTTTCGGGATTAACGAAATTTGCCCAATAATCCGAAGGTATTTTCAATAAATTTTCCACTATCTATAAAAAGAAAAGTAAAAGGTCAAGCAAGCATTATCTAGTCTTTTCAATTTTTTATTATAATACTTACAGCAACTTGATTACTTGTCTCTGAAAGAAGAGAATTGGGCGATGGTTTCTGGCAACTATAACCGACCAAAGTAGGCCCAAAAACTTTAGCTAAATTAGTTATTGGCATCTTACATTCTGGACTACTTGATACTCTTTGTAAGTGCAAGATTAAGAAGGCAAGCGTGTCTCTGTTAGGTTGAGGTAGTTCAGAAATTGCTTGGTATAATGCAGCATCAGCATCTTGTTTATCGGTAATAGTAGTTGCCCGAACAAAGTCTGCCCATAATCCGACAGTGATTAACGGCTCTCGTAACGATCTAAGGGTAAGGAAGAAACTAAATAAATTGTTTCACTTGTATAGAACAAAATATTCGAATCGACGTACCTAAGGAAATCTTTAAGAGTAGAACATATGGTAGATATATCGACATCGGAAAGATTGGGGGCACCTTTGCCTTTAAGGAATTTCTCTTTTAGACATTTTACCTCCGTTAAACCGCCATTTACCCTGTACAATCCTTGTTCGCTCATTCCTCTCAATTCTATTTCGTTGATGCAATGAACAACCAATGACGGTACCATTGGCGGGATCATCGGTGTATAATCTGCTATCGTTCCCTAAGAATAGTTTGTTATCACTTTTTATCATATACAAAGATACCGCAAGTTTCAAGAGCTTACTGATGTTCCTCGTAGTGTAGGTGTATTTCCAGTAGGTACACATGGTAATGGAACTAAGTCTTTACATTCCATATGAGCCGTAGCTCTACAGTCTTTACATTTCAGGGCTACCTTTCCAAATCGAATCCTAAAATGTTATTTTTAAAAGTGTTTCTATGACACTTGTATGAACCGAATCCTTATGAATATTTTACCTCTTGTCACATGGTGTACAGACTTCCGGTTTAATCACCGTCTTCGCTACAAAGCTATGCCCTCTAGCTGATTTCGTATTTAAAGTGTATCCACCTATGTTTGGACTAGGTTTAAAAACGCCCTCAGAATCTGATCCTGATGTAAGAGCTTCTATTTTTGGCGCAGAAGGCTGTAATATAATTTTCACTCTGTTATTTTAGCTGAAATTACAGAAACATGGAAAAGAAAGAAAAATGTGTTTAATTCAAATAAAACAACTTACAGCAGTATCCATTTGAATATCATTTGTATCAACGGGTGTTAATTTTGATTTACTACGATCACCACTTTTACGCCTTTTACGCGAATTATGTAAAGGTTCTTGTGGATCTATGTTTTCATCCCCAGGTATAGCTTCAATTACAGAAGACGCAGTGATATTGCCATCTTTTGGCATCACTACTGTAGTTGTGGCTACTATTCTATCAGACGAAGTTAATTCTGCAGCTTTTTGTACTGTACTACGTCGCTTCTTCGTGGAATATTCACCACTTGGTCTGTGCTCTTTCCATTCACGTTTCTTATGATTTTGTTGAATGATTGCACTAATATCTAAATCATCTTCTGACTTCGAAAAGCAACTTAAGTCACTTAAAATAGAGCCAGTGGAGTCCAGCTCCGCTATAGTATTTAATCTAAAAGCGATAATTAAACAACGTTTTCCTATGTATCAATCAATAACACCCTATATAAATAGGAACTCACTTGTCATTTTGATGTACATCCTTTATATTATATATATTACTGTGACGACCATTTAACGTAGTGTTATTCAAAAATTGTAATTTTTCGCGGGTTTCATCGTTTAAATTTCTCCCACCATCGTTAAATAAAAGATCTCTGGCCATAGCAATTTGTTTTTCCTATATAAAAAGTAACGAGAATACATTGTCATATGTTTAAGAATTATGAAAGAAGAACATATTTACCAATGAATTTCGTTGTTCTTCAACGGTACGCCTTCTCCTTTTCTCTTCATCTAGAAGTCTTCTAGCGTGACTTAATTTTTTATCTAAGTCAGCTGCCTCTTGATGAGATTTCTCTAAAGCTGAATGAAGACGTTGACATTCTTGTATAGATGCTAACCATTTCTGTCTCATTTCTTCCTGATTTACAGCAAACTTTAGAAATTCTACATAAAAAATAGGATGTAAATGATATAGTAAATTAACTTGAAACTACGTTAAAAAAATGAAACAATATGACTGCGTCATCTTTGTTTTCTGTGTACATATTTACAATAGCAATTTCATCGTTAAATTATAGCACGAATGGAAAGAACACAAGAAATATTGAAAAGAGTACGGGGCATGGAAAATATTTATATACAAAAGCTTAGAGGCATGCGTATTTTCTCAATATATTTTTTCATAATCTAGTAAAACATTGTAGGGAGCAAATATATGAAATCCGAACCTTCTTCGCAAGCTCCGTTTAGGTGTACATTCATACATCGAACCACTTCATCGTGACTCGCCAGCAACGATAACGATGTCATCTTCAAATTGATATAGAATTCGTTTCAAGAGAAATTAAAATATTTTGTCATGTATACAAACCACGCCAACAGGTTCGCGACAACTTTCTATCAATTATTCCAATTTTGCAACACTTGTATCGTTGCGAATATCAATTCATTCGAACTTTAACTATAAATTCGATAATATGACGCGTGTAATGCATTTCTATCATTAATTTTTCATAATAGTAAGTAGAAATCACTTCTTTGATGCACGCACATGGTATCACGCTATATCACTTAGCCGTTGACATTGTAAGTACGTTACGTTGAATACGCACAACAATCGCTTCTCGTGCAATTCAAATTTGACCAATCAGAGGGACACATTTTCGAGCAGTTTTTTATTTCTCCGCTAGACGTCTCTCGTGTTAATCCAACTGTGGCGACTTGCATTACCGGCATCCACCAGAGAGAGCCACCATAAACAATTTTATAGAAACCAAACGAAACGCGGCCTTTTAAACTTGAAATTAAACTTATATTCCGATATATGAAATCAATTTATAATTTTATTTTTATTCGTTATAGTTATTTGTTAAATAAATTATATTGTATTGTATTATACAAATACAATACAATGCTTAATACAATAGCTTCGAAACAATTGTTTTTGATAAAAATATCGAGTATTTTGATTAAGTGTGTATGCTGTAGTAGAAGGAAAAATTTGATGTAAGAGATACATATACATAGTATGTATGGATAATTTGTATTTTATTTAAAAAAGAACATTATAAATGACGAACAACATCTTTCATATCTTTCCTATTTTTTAACTATCTTAATTTATTATACATGTCATCATGCCAAAGTAAAGTCAGAATTCTAATATAGCTCAATATCATTATATATATATATATATGTGTGTTTATTTATTTATTTATTTATTGGTTTGTGGATTATTTGATTCTTTGCCTTCTTTGAACTATCGCTATTACTATCGCTATTATTATATGATGCCCTTAGTTTTAAGCTTCCATTCATGATGTTCATCAACTCCCACATTCCTTTCTCAATGGTTTCCCATTTTTTGGGCATTCCCTATTTCTTAATACGTTTGACTTAACTTCTTTATACATGGGTCGTTTACTTAATATATGGTTTCTATTTTCTATTCCTCCTATATTATATATTTGACACGATGGCAGGTTTTCTTCCATTATTTGTCTTATTCCAGCTTTTGGTATTACATTACATTACATTTATTAATGACCGATATATAATTTATAGAAAATGATAGATTGCTTTATCGTGCATCAAACACAACAACTAAAAATTTATTAAGGAAAATGACTTGCTTATATTGTGTTTATATGTACCTACAACGAGTGTAGGAAGTATTTATAGAATGAATGATTACTATTAAAATCTTATATAGCAACATGTATTAAACAACATTGCACAAGTGCATTAGTAACATTTAATAATATCTAATGTATATTTCTATAAATATAAAAGGATACGTCTTTTAGTTCGTTTCTTGTACATGATCCTATACCCACATTCTCGGCATCGAATTGGATCTCTTGGGCGTATTTCATTATCATGATGACATTCTACAAAAACAAATAAATTATATACATATTTATAGAACAAAAGTTTGCATACAGGTTATGAATGGAACACGCGAAGATACTAATAAGTTGATAAAAGCTTATGTTTCGTGAAATAAAAAATGGACTCAAAGAATTTTTAATGTTATACAATATTAACATCTAAATTAAGACGATATAATGAAACATTTATTTAAATAAAACGAAGACTTGACAAGTATGATATTTTTATTAATGTCGTTACTCAATCAAAACTTTTATCAATGTATAAATTGTATGATGAAAGGATGGAGAAAGCAATATTTACACAAACTTTATGTTTCTTTCGAAAATACATGACAGACACAAAAAGTGAGTGTCGTAATGCGACATAAAAAGTGAGGTTAGGAATATTTCACGTTTATGATCTTAACTGTACCTCCGCAAATGTATACCATAGCCTGTTTTGGCGTCGATTCCGACTTGCTAGATTCCATTGTACCCAATTTTCAATCAAAACCTTTGCGTTTCGCAATAAAGTTTACTGACTATCTTGTTAATCGATTGCGCACTTGCTGCTTGTGCATAAGTACCTACGCAAAGAGCAAGTGACTGTCTTTCTCCCATTCCCTCTCCCTCTCTCTCTCCCTCTCCCTCTCCCTCTCCCTTCCCCCTCTCTTTCATCTTTTTAACCTTTTTGTAATTTCCGAAAATTAACAATTTTTTTTCTCGACAACTTCGACGACATTGATTGGCTAAGGTTTGTAAACTATTTTTTCAATTCATTATAGTGAAATGTGGTATACATAGTGTTTATCAACTCTTTTTTGTGTCTAATTTTTTAAAAACTAAGCAGCCATATCTGTGTACGGAAAGAGGCATTTTTAAGATCTTATTAAATTTAGTAAGTGACTAATAACTCTATCATTAATATGGCACAGAAATTATGTTTTTATATCTTATCTATTTCTTTCTCCCTTCTTATTTAGTTTTAGTCGTAAAATTTGCAATTTGTAAGTAAAAATATTTTGATACTAGCCTTTTTTCTGGAGTCGAACTAGTTCGAAAAAACAGAATAACATTAATAGCAAGCAGGATGTCTCTAGAAATAATAGTACTACGTTTGTACCTACTAATAGACACGATAGCAATAGTATTCTTGTCACTTTTATACATTCGAATTAATAACACTCGAGCCTCGTGTAACAATTTACTGTTAATAACATACTTCTCAACAGCTCGTAAAAATACCATTGATAAATTGCTGCTGAGATTTCGTCAATCTTACAATAAATTCTCAACGTCTTTCATACAAATACAATAACATACAAATTTGAATAAAGTTGATTACACGTGATTACTAAAACAATTGTGTCAAATCTATTAGTAGTGTTTTTATTTTGCTCTGATGTAATAAAAACATGACAGTATTTTCATGTTTTCATCCGTAAAATCTCATACGCGTATTGCCGTCGATAAGCCTGTGCATATTTAACATAATACATATAATATGCTATGTATTGTACAAATGAAATATCGTACGTATGTACGTCAAACGAATCTTCTAACTTTCAAGAAATATCCCCATATTAAAAAATATCCGTTATATCAATCATACGCATGAAGAAAATACGTTTTTCTCATTTTGAAAATGAAAATTATACTTGTATATTACAGTACATTTAATAAGATGCTTCACAAGTAAATATTACCGGTACGGTAGCATTATGTGAAATAATAATATTAAGAGTAAAATTATAAAGGACTGAGAAATTGAAATTGAAATTAAGTAAACTTTTAACCAACTATATATATTGGATATACAAGTTAAATTAAAAGTTTTTTATTAGAAAAATATAAAAAATGTCAATGTTGATAATAAGATATATATTTCTTTCTAAAATATCGATAAATTATTATACTTGATAGGATATTAATGGTATACATATATGAGAATCAATAGTTACACAGTTATTCGTTACTCGATACATTTACATTAAACACACATGCCAATATACGTACGTATGTACATATTTTACGTATATTTAATTCGAAATTAAAATACATTATTTTACTGTAATTACTGCTACATTAACAAAGTTATTGTAGAAAAGTTAAACAGAATTTTGTTTAATATGTATACTAGTAATTTCTCCTATGTTCCATCTAGTGGATACAATTAAAGTAATGTGATATATAACTTAAGTCGTATAATGATTTTATAGTCGGTCATAATATTAAAAAATAATTAAGTGGCTTCCCGTGTCTTCCTATAATAAGCATTAATTTAAAGGAAAGAAAGAAAGGACGAGGAGAAAATGAAAAAATATCGAAATTGGTAAAATTGAAGGAATTTTTGTATGCGCACGCGCTGTGAAAGAGAAATCAGAAATCAAAGAGGTCTCCCCAGCAACAGAATTCAGTAAGTCCAGCAGCAGCCGCTAGAGGTAACAGCATCAGTAACGCGGCCAAGAATTTCGAGCCAATGGTAGCGCTTGGCAACGAATGGCGGGATGAGTCAGGTTAGCCGATTGGTCGGGCAATTGCCAAGGGAGCTACGGTGGGACAACGGATAAACAGACTTCAAAGTTTCGTAGTGCTTGCAGCGCAGGAACACGCAGAGGGAGAGTCGGTGTCCGCGTGCGCATGTTTGCCGCGAATCTTACTTCGAATCCTTACACAGTGAAGATTAATATTTCTGGTGATACATTTCTGGCGAATTGCTATTTGTCACATGGTTTTGAACACTTTTCATGCAATGTCATGTTGAAATAACATCATGTTGAAGTGACAAGTGAGAAATGGGAATATATCGTCCGGAAAGGCACGAAGATGGATGAAATGGAAAACATAAGTATCTGCGAGACACCTTGCATCACGATAAACTCGAGCAATCGCAGTTGGCACGACAGTGTTAACGACAGTGGTTATGTGTCTATTACTCCTCATTCTGGCGGGTATACACCAATAATTTCAAGATACAGGTCTAGAGTGAGAGCTACTCCAGATTACACAGGAAGAGAAACAGTGGATATATTGGCGCTCCTTGGAGACAAAAGCAATCATTGGAGGATAGTGTCTAAAATATTATCCTTCCTTGGACCGCAGGATCTTTGTTCAATCAGTATGGTGTCGAAAACATGGAAGAGAATCTGTATAAACGATTCTAGGGCCAATACCAGAAGACTGATCCATGTAATACTCAGACAGAATGCCAAGGAAAATCTAAAATTAATTAAAAAGTCAAAGATAGAAGGAGATATTCAAAGCAGTCCTAGGAGCAGATACGCCAGGAAAGGATACTTGTTAGAGGTACAGAATCTTCTGCAAGTACCAGGAAATCAACTATCACCTAGCAGTCCACCTGTTTCTCCCAGCAAAGTAAAATTCCACTCTTTCGTCAAGGTAAGTGAATTCTTCTTAATATTATTAATATTCTCTTCTTCTTAATATTGATTAATATTCTCCGGTTATGTATCGTGAAATAACTTTTCATTACGGAATGGCATAAGATTACTCAGTTTTCTATTCAAAATGCTAGGATGTTGTCTTATCAAATGCAGGATAAATAATAGGCAAAGATAAATAAATATAAGTGTAACTTGAATTATTTTATCTCATTTTGTACAATCGTATGCAAAATTAGATTTTATATAAGATTATATTCTTTCTTTTTAGATGAAATTCTATCGTAGTCGACAATTCGTGATAAATTTCACGCTACATAATAATATATAAGATAAGAAATTCAGTTAAACAACTGGTTCATTAACCTGCTTGTGCCTGTTTGCACGAACGTGAGAAAAAGTGCTACGGGTACGACGTTCACGCATCTTCTAGAACGCGAACGTTGCGTATTTAGACGATATACAAAGTTTCTTTCTGCGGATCGTATTCGATCCCTGTAAAGAAAGAAATACATATATGTTTTACATCAACCGGAGTCATATTCTTCCCTCTTACCGTACAGTATCTCTAGATACTCGAGTAACAGCCTTTCAACGAGTATTCGTTATTGTATTCTTATCATTAAATAAAATTTCTTCGAGTCTCGAAGAAATATTATTTTGATAAAAATTTGCTGCTGTATCGATTTGAATTAATCTAGATTAATTAATCTGGATTATTATCCATTAGGCAGAGGGAGTGGGGGACCAATTGTTAATCGATGCTTAAAAAGCATCCCGACACTTATTTATTTTCAACAGGCTCGATCAAAAGACTACGGATACAAGAATTTTTCGATGATTTTGTCCTTTGTGATCATCGTAGTTAAGGATAGTAGAATATCATAACCGCAGCGAAATTGATCTTACAGGCTAATATCGATTTATTATAATTGTCAAACGACGCGGAAATATCATATATCGTTCGAAAAGCTCTTTGCGTCTCTAAATTGATTAATTTTTTATAGAAAGATTAACGACTTGAAACAGTGATATTATCTAAAATGAATAAGTACCTACATACCTTAAGATGAATCGTGCAGTTAATTTTAACATATTACTAGAGTGTGAAACGTATATTCTTATATATATGTAGTCTCTAAGAGAATTGCATAAGAAGATGGTAAGTGATTCTATCAGTGATCGATCGATCTTTTTGTCTATTTATTCAACGGCATTTACAATCATCAAGCAATCTATCAAGGACCAACGTTCATTTAACGCAACATCTCTGTTTTACGTTAATTTACGTTATTGAATTCTATTTTTTAACATTGTGTAATCTAGGGCTTCGGTACAGCATATAATATTTCGATACGTTTGTTACACCTTGATAAAGTAATACATATATTATTTTACGTTTCTTAATAATATTACGTTTACGTGTTATCTCGTTGCTAGGTTCGTAATCTCTTATTAATTTGTAGAGCTTTTGGTAAAACTAACATGTTGTTAATTTTAATGTTCGTGACGAGTGTTGGCGTGCTTACGATCGGTAGGATAATTATGTACGTAGTAATTACATTGTGATTTGTCGTAAGACGCGATTGTTCGCGGGCTGAGAATAAAAATATTTATAATCGGATCATAGTTTCGCTTTTATTGAATAATAACAACGTACATACATATAGTCATATTCGATGAGCTCGATTAAGGTGAAGGCTGTAATGTGGCGAAGAGATATTATGTTCGATATGAAATATCGTCAGGCGTATCTAAACCTATAATTAGGTAGCTTATATTCTCTCTCTCTCTTTTCCGTCGTTGCTGTGCCGTCCGAGGTTATACTTTTACAAGCAGAATTTCGAAGAATAATTAGAGAATGGTAACGGATTGGAACTCGGTAGCTTAGGATTTCGTTCAACAATCCTATAGCTTGCCTATGCATATACGTATGTATGTATGTCGTGGACGTGATTTGCACATGAGCGAACGAACAAATTCGAATTAAGCAACATAATTGTTTCGTCGGCGAGATCATCCGTTTGACGTTGATTTATTGTGATTTCTTCTTTGAAATGCCGCTGGCTCGTCAACCGTGACGGTAGATACGATATATTCCAGTGCTGAAAAATCACCCTCTCGCGACGGATGACGAGCTTTTGGCGCAGCAAATTCTCCGATCTTTAGCGTTAATTTAAGTGTATCGAATTACTAGAATACGAAAGTTTTTCGATAAGTAGCGTATTAAAAGAATACAATAGCCGAGGAAAGTCG